AAAAGTTGAGTTATACATTTTTGTATTAATCAAATAATTATGTGGACTATACACTATAGTACTGTATATTACAAGTATAAAATCTAATAATATAAACTGTTATAATATTGTATATACCTAACACACTACAACACATTTTGAATGGGCCCTCTAATTTTTCTGCTAATATTTACACTGAACCAATGCGGCTACACCACTGAATAAGTTGCCTTACTCATAAGTCATAATAATTAAACGTTGAGACAACATTTAAGAAAACAATATCTATTTCAATTTAATATAATATTATTAATGTTACATTGTTACGTAGCCAAGTAGATATATATATAAACAAAAATGTATGTTCACCTCACCAAAATTGTGTGTGAAAAATATAGGTAATAACAACTATATACTGTTATACATAAATATTAAATATATAATAATAACATAATATGCTGGCATAATTTCGAGGGCAAAATATTGTATCTTTTGAAAACAACTTGTTTTTTTGTCTTTTAAACGTACATATACGCATCGTATATGCGGTGTGCATACTGGCATACTGTATATATTATACATGATATTATGCATATTATATTATATACTTATACTATTTTATTTCTTACTACAACAGTAAACAAACGGCAGACGCACATCCCCCCACTGGTCTCTCTAAACCAAACTTGACTGCTCTTTTGTATTATATTTAATATATACCAATATTATATGACTATATCTAGTTTATATACTTTATAACATCATTTTATAATCACATACTATTTCTCGAATTTGTACTGCGCTAAAAAAAAATTATTCGAGGTTCAACTTTATAGTATAATATTATACAGTAATTATATTGCACTCGTGAATCAATTAATATAAAATTACTCTTTGAAGAATTTTAACACAATCATAAGATTTCACATACCACATTTCCACAGTTACCTTTCGTATTTTATATTAATAAGAAACACTTGACAACATTTAGAATTTTAAAATTATGGAAATTCGAGACGAAATACCAAGAGTTACATCCTAATATCCCAATGGAAGTACACTATACTGGTATATAATACATAATATATTAGGATATGCAATGTTTATTCATATAACAGTGGCATAACTTTGACATTTCGGCTCGACAGGAGTGAAATGTTCATGACTTTGTGTGTATTCTTATCCCCTCGTTTTTAAGTAAGCTGGAGCAAGCGGGGAGAAAGAAAAGTTATATTTTTAATGTCCCACATATACATATTAATGTTCTTTCAGTAATAACGAGAACCTCCGTTTTTTTTTTTAGCAAGAATCGTTTCTATTGCCTCAACTATTATAGGTAATGTTTTACGCTACAGTGCTACACACTCATGAATGTGCATTTTTCGCTGCAGCTGAACGAGATAAAGAACCGATTCTGTATTTGACCAGACCAAAAACTAAATATAACTACCCACCTAGTACAATTTTTGTTTTTCATAAAATGATTATAATGTGGAAACAATTTTTTTTCATCCATAAATCTTGTAGATTATACCTATATAAGGCTAAAAAGGTATTTACACTTTGCATCCGCCCGCCATATCAAATTTCCGTAGTATAGCCATAGTCGGGTGGAGTGCGCCATGGGAACACGACAAGACAAATACGAAATATAAAAGTCAGCCGCTATACCATTTCCGGGCAAAATATATAGAATTGTTGGTCGAGTGCGGCGCCGGAAATCGTCTTCCTTCCCGCGTCCGAACCACAACTGCCAAAAGCGGGGATCAGGCCAGTACCGGCGTTAACGAATATTCTACCTAGGGCAGATTTTAAAATGCTGCCTTTTACAACCCTTGTACCGTCATAAAAATGAATTATATTAATAATATTATGGTTTACATAACATTGTATTATAATTTAATATTAGATACTGAAAAAAAATTATTAAATATGTATGATTATTTGACGAAAGATGATATAGTGTACCTGATTAAAACAATTGCCAGGTAGTGAACAAATTGTACCATTTCAGGATAACTGCAAATGGGGGATTAAAATAATATGACCTGAGAGCCGGTAAGACGAAGCATGTCCATTGTCCATAGGTAAGGTTAGTACACATTTGTGTTTAGTACACACGTTGAGTCTTAAACTTGGAAGTGCTCAAAATGTTTTAGCCTAAACTGACCCTTGGACGGTGGTGAGTTGATGACATCCGCTATGAGGTTATGCACACCAGACTTACTTTAATTTCATTTCAAATAAAAGAATACATTTTTTTTTGTCCAATACATTTTTTTTTTTAAATTTTAAACAAGACATTCCTAGAGTAGGGCTATCTATATCTAGTGGTGTTTGACAAGCAGTATATTATAATACTGATGGTGTATCCGAATTGGTTCCCAAGTTCTTACGAAGGATATAACTGATTATTTCAACAACTATACATTCAATAAATTTGGGATGCAATCAGGGACGTTCACATTTTCACTCTACTTTCATCATTTTTGTTTTATGCAATTTAAATGTACCTACTAAATATATTTCAACAAGTAATATTATGTAATTACAAAAATTAAATATCTACGATTTAAGATGGTATAATAATATCTTAAATCGTGCACCACACTAATAAATTGTTGGTATTTGTGCAGAAAAATGGCAAAAAATAAAATTGAATTAGTCAATATCAGTACTATTGCTATTTGTCACTCACTAGAGAACACAATTGTACAACTTGTGGAATCGACTATCTTTGATTCATACTACTACACTAGAATATCTGGCTGAAAATATCTATATTTTCAAACTTAATAATATTAATTAATATCATTATTTTCACATCAATAAACCATCATACCAATAGACAGGATACAAAAACAAAATCCTATTCAGTATTCCAGGAATAAATACTTATAAAATTGAGTTATAATAACAACTCATAAGATAACATGAGTTATAAATAGGTAATATACTAATATTAGAAACTCAAACACATTCCCCATGTCCTGTCTGCCACAGTGCCACCAATCATATATTTATGTTAAGATTTTCGCCCATCTGATACCTGGGGACTGCTCATATTCACTAGCCAAGTTTCAGGATAGCCTACTGCCCTACTAGGTTTCCAGATGGATTTTTTTATTATGTATAATAATGCAAATGATATGTCTAATGATTGTTACCTATTAGTTGTTTTTCTTTTACTCCAATTTATATGATGCTGCATAAAAGCAAGTCTGGCGTACAAATTAATTTAATAATTTGATAATCTGATCCTGATGCCTAGTTATGATATGTGGGGATACAACAAACTACCGAAATATCAGTAGTATCAGTGAATAGTGAATGTAGATACTGCTGTAAACGTAATATTGTTTATTGTGTACACTTTATTACTCAAATATTATATATTAATAAATTATACCATTGATTTTAGAATAATATACTGAATTTAGAATAATATTCTAAAGTCAATGATTAAAGTTCCTCGAAAATAATATTAACAAAAGTTGAAAATTTATATTCTTTGTTGTGTGGCTAAGGTAATAATGGTAAAATGGTAAATTGGTGTTCGTTTATTGACATTAATATTATGTATGGAGGTAGAAAAATAATTTGTGCATAGCAAAAAAATGTTTAGCGACAATCAGAGACTACACATTTTTGTTATCGTAAGAAAAGTGACTGTGATGAATAAAATGTAAAGTAATTAATTAATAAGGTACGATTAAAATAATAAATTACAATAATAATACTTATTTTGATGATTGTATGTTAAAATAAAAATAATGAATTGTTTGCAAACAATTTTGTAGGAATTTATTGCAAATAAATATTAAATAAATATTTATTGTCTCATTAGATAATTGATTTTAGTGTATCAAAAGATAGTTGAAATTAAATAATAAAAAAAAAATATTTAGCTCTTTTAAATTAAATTCATGCCAATTATTTCAGTTCAAAGCATTAATCATGAATGCATTTACTAAACTTTAGGTGATCATAGTTAATAAACTATTGAACCAAAATTGATGATTTGACTATCAACATTTTCAGAAAAAAAGTTTTACCAGAATTCATTCAAAAATATAGTTGTTACCATATGAAAAATCAAGGGAAATTAAGTTGATTTTGCTGTCGGTGTAAAATTGCGAGTTCAAAAATTTTGAAATTGTTATAAAAAAATTTCCTGTTCAAATTAAAGAAATACGTCTATTTTTGTTTTTTTCAAAATCTCATATCATCGATCCATGATCGTCAAAAAAAAAACCCACTAACAAAGATCATGATAAGGCATGAGATACACCCGGTGCAGGCTGGTTGTAGGTGACAAATTATTATTATTATACTTTACGCCATATAATATCGCACCATCTGCAAATGATAATTTAACAATAAGCGCAAGCGATAGATTTGATGGATTTGAAAAATGTAAGTAAGTATTCTTGATGTGACGTACATTCAAATGAATGTTCTGCCTCCCACCAGATCGTCGCTCCCGGGTCCGTCCCTAAGTCATCCGCAGCTTGCACGCGGGCGACGGACGCACAGTGACACGTCGGCGGGCATGGATTAGTATATATAATGTATATATATATATGTATGGTGGCGGGTGCGTTATGAACGTGGACGATGTTTGTGGGCCGCGGGGCGCGGGTGGGTAGGTACGCGTAAACAGCACGCGAGCAACCACGGGGTCGATACACTCGGCGTGCACCGAACCGTGCCACCCCACACGGTAACGGGTTTGTCGTGCACAGCAAAATTTATTCTTCGGCACATAACTGGTGTCGCGGACTGTCGGCCACTTCACGGTACTATGGTGTGCACGCGTAACTTTTCGTTGGTCCGCGGTACTTTTCGTTGGTCGCGCGATATTGATTTTCATTATTTTCGAACGTTTCACCGTCGTTGCGAAACGTTGCGCCCGACCGTTTCGCGCGTCCTTTTCCCCGCTCGCCCGTCCCACCAACAACAACCCGCCTCACCACATCACCCCCACTCCCGGACCATGGTACTGTGGTACGTACATGTTCACGGTTCATTGTATTGTCGGCCATTTTCAACGCGTGTTCCCTAGTTAACCATACTCTCCCGTAACTTGTTTCCGCCGACATAGTTAAATATTTTTTGTTCGTGTGTCACGTTTTGCGCCTACTGCATACCGCGTACCCATTTACGTCGAGCTAGACACCGTAAACATTTTCGTCACACAGTTTGACGCAGCCGACCTACTGCTGCCGCTCCGTCTGACCCGTGTGTTTAAGCACTAAGCACGGAACACCGTAAAATCAAAACACTTTCATACCGACAATAATATTCCATTATTATTTTACCGTCTCGCCCTAGTGTTCGTTAGTGTATAACCGTTTCTCGATCAACATGTCTTCAACCGAATTGAATGATGGCGCCAACGGTGAGATGCCTTCCGAGTCCAAACCCAACGAATACGTGTCGGCCCTGGTCAAGGAGAAGTACGCTCTGGACGCTGCCACCCATCAGAACACGATGAAGCTCATCGACGAAGGTTAGTAATTTGCCATAATGTCGTACTTACAGCAGTTAGTTTTTATGTTTACTATTGATTGCGAACCGATTTGATTTTCTTTGTACCTATTTCCTTATTATTTTAAATAAAAAGTTCCTTCTAAGTAGATACTAGGTACCTATATATTAGGAAGCGTTTTTAGAAGTTTTACTTTATATAGATGAAATATATTATTATTATAAAATAAAAATAATTATCAAACAATAGTTAATGAAGGTAGAAAAGTAGAATAAAAAAATATTTTGAATACGTCAAAGTGGCTTAGGTACCTAATTCATAACACTTGGAGTATATATTTTGCCACTCACAAACCTGACACAAAGTTCAATAATTTGCATGTGTTTGTGTGAGAAATGTTGTAGTCTGGGGATTTTTTTTCCTCGTGATTTTTATTCCGCAATTCATTTTTACCAATTGTATGCATACCTAATAAAACATTGTTTACATCAAGACTTTTCACCATCCAACATCAACCTAATGTTATTATTGCAACAGAATTCAGGCCTATTCAATGGTGTAATAAATATTAAGATACTTAGGTATCCAGGTATATATTAAAAACTAAATGATCTACCATTAGATTTAATAATTAAAACATAACCACAAAGGTACCTTGATAATTGTAGGTATGATTTTAGACAAGCTCTCGAGAGGACGCCACACCTGCATGTGTTGCCTCTGTCATACAAACATTCAACATTGCAAAAACTGTTAAAGAAAAAGAACCACTCAAGTTGTAGTCCAAACTAATCAACCAAATTTTCATACTATTAAGACGAGAACATTTACTGTGTGACTTCATTTTTATTTTTTCAATATTACAAATATATTAAAAGTTATTCAAGTTTGAAATAATAAATGTTTAAACAATAAGAATTTCTATTGTATTTATGATATCTAAAAAATAAAAACGATGTTGCACGGTAAATATTCTCTTGTTTATAGTGTATAAAAATTTGGTTTCTTAGCTTGGGACTACAGCTTGAGTGGTCATTTCACGCAAAACCGTTTTTGCTATGTTTATGTTGGTAAGACGGAGACAACACTTGCAAATCTCTCTTTCAAACAAAAACTGGCTAATAACACTTACCCCCATTCCTTAAACTCAATCTCAAAAACCAAAACTATAATATTCAATTCCGTGATCTCAGACTCTTGTTATATTGTATTCAAGTATTGGAGAACCAACCAAATCTTCAAATATCCATCTTTCTAACACTTATTTCTCCGCAGTAATCATTACTGTTGCTCTATTGCTCTAATATATAACTACTCATTGCATAACGACTTGAAAATTATAAATTTCACAAAATTAGCTAAATATATGAATTCCTCAAGCATGTTCATAAGTTGTTACATTATATATTTATATCCTAATGACTAAATTAACTATTTCATATTTTAATAATTAATACAACAAAAAATATATATAAAGTACAATTTTGAATAATTAGGTTCCCATGTCATATTATAATATTTATCTAGGTTCAATTTATTTATTTATTAAACAGTGTTATTTATATATACATATTTATTTTTATTTTAGAAATTGCTAGAGCACAAAACACCAATGGAAAACCAGAAGCTGCTTATTTGGACATAAATAGTGATAAACCTATTCGGCTAACTGCAAAAATTATGGTTCCAGCTAAAGAATTCCCAAGGGTATTTATTTTTGACATATTAGTATATTACCTACCTATATAAATTGCTTAATGATTTTCTTATATATAAATTTGTAAATTATTTAATTAATTTTACATTTTCAGTTCAACTTTGTTGGTAAACTATTGGGACCTAAGGGAAACTCATTAAAACGTCTTCAAGAAGATACTATGACCAAAATGGCGATATTGGGCAAAGGATCAATGCGTAACAAGGAAAAAGTATGTGTTAAGTTTTCACAATAGGTACTAGTACAGGAAGTGAATGAATATTTAAACAATTTTAAATTTCTTGTATTATATGATGTGATTTATATTAATTGTTTGTACAATTCTATAAATCACTAATCAGTATTCTAACCAATAGATATTATGAATATTAAAATGAATTTAGTTGCAACAGATTTTTTATAGCATAATATATCATTTATTAATCTTACCATTTGCTGATTAGTATATTTATATTTTATAGGAAGATGAAATGAGAAGCTCATTAAACCCAAAGTTTGCGCATCTTGCTGATGAACTCCATGTGCAAGTTACTGCTTATGCGCCTCCTGCTGAAGCTTATGCCCGTCTCGCTTATGCACTTGCAGAACTCCGGAAGTTTTTGATACCCGACCATAATGATCAAATTGCACAAGAACAAGCACGTGAAATGCAACAATTTGGAGGTGCTCCACCTGTTCGTCATCCAGGACCAATAATTCACGCTCCACCCCCTCCACCTGCAGTGATTCGACAAATGCCACCTCAGCCACCACGTATGCCGAGAGCTCCAGTTCCAGGAAAGGCCAAAGTAATGAGCATATTGGATAGAGCTCGATCAGCAATGGAAGGCTCGAATGCTTATCCTGGTAATGGTGGCTATGGTGATTCTGGTTCATCTCATTATTCTCATTTTGATTCTGGGTAAAATATTTTATATTATTTTATAAATTGTTCAGAATTAATCATTCAATTATTTCGTTAAAATCAGAAAGTAATAGTGAATACATTTAACAGGTATGGTGGTGTAGCAACATATAATGGAGGTGGTAATGACGATTATTACTCGGGAAATTCATATTCGCAAGGTAAAAGAATTATATATTTAATGTTTTACATTATATTCAAAATTTTAAATTCCCCTTGTTTTTAGATAATTCTCAAAGTGGAGGTGGACGTGGTTGGAAAAATTACAATACTGGCGGTAGTAGTGGACCATCCAAACCGACTGGTAATCAAGGTAGTCGGTATGGAGGTCGCAACGCCCCATATACCAGACAAAAATAATCAGGTATTTGTCAGGCCTATTTCTATTGTAAACGAATATTGACAACAAAGAGAAATATTGGGTAGAATAATTTTTTTTCATGATTTGACATTTCATAATTATCTCAATAATAATTTTCCACTTAGTAAAACAAATTAAGATTATCTTATATATATATTTTTTTTTTTTATATACGTATATAAAATATAAAAGTATTGTACATCCAAAAAAAAGTTGTGTATACATGGGATGTTGAATTCCAAATCATATTTTTCTTAAGATAAAACATTATAATTTAAACATAATTGTGTAAGGAATACAATTTAAATAATATAATTTGTACAATGGAGTGTAAAATACAAGTTCTGCACAAAACTTCTTGATTAGATTATTATTATAACTTTATATCAAATATTGTTGGGCTACTTATTTTATTATTATTTTTTTTAAATATGAATTTGTCTATAGGAAAATGTTTATAATTTTTTGATGTATTTTTGATTATTACCTTTTATAGATACTTAGAACATACATTGTTACTAAAGGATAGCACCACTGCCACAATATATTTTTATTCAATAAATTATAGCTATTATTATTGATAAAATATTTGAGTTCCTTTACCTATATAATACTGTTAAATAAAAGAATAATGAAATAAATTTGTCTACAAATAATTATTTACAAACACTAAATTGCATTCAAACAAGTTAAAACACAATCACTATAGTATTTAATAATTAAATATTAATAAAAACAAAAATAAGCATAGGGCAATAATTAAAAAATTCTATTGTGGCAGAGGTAACAATCCGCTTAAAATTAAAATTTGCCTGTTGCTGCTAATATATTACAGATGCTGATTTATTATAAAAATATAAATTTAAATTCGAACCCAGTGATTGATGATGATTATTATAATAATAACAAACCAATTGACTAATATAATATTTTTAATTATTATTTTATTATATTTATGTGTTTGATTAAAACTTGGTAGATCCATTGGATTCATTTTAAAATGTCACTTATATATTATGTAATTACTAATTAATAAATTGGAAGAAATATTTGTAGTATTTATTGTTTTATACAGTTATTATTTACTTATTTATTATTATTTTTTTTTTATCATTTTATTATAAAAATATGGATTACGCATAATCTAATGCTATCAATAGATGTTTAGATTTATAATAATATTGTAGTTTGTTAGGAATAACAAAATTTATATAAAATAAAAACTTACAAAAAATAAAATAAAATATTTACAATTTACTTGATCTTTCTATATATACATATTATATTATATTTGCTCTCACAATAATATATACTATTGATACAAATAGTTATTATATAATTGTGTGTTATAGATGATGTGCATATTGTGGATTTTGTTGACATTTGAATAGCCGATGCTATAAATTATATTCACGAGTTTTGAAAATATGAAAGTAATTTGAGGTTATCAATTATAATTTATGATCAAATTTATCATGCCTTCTTAATCTTGTGGAATAATAAATTTTTTAAAAATAAATATTTTATTCTCTTTATTTTCACCGTTTTGCAATTGTCATTAATGTTCTAAAACTACTTATGAAATTGAGTATATTTTAATTATTGTTTATTTACTTGATTTTGAAGTTATGTCTCTAGCTACATGAGTTAATAATTATGAACAACTGTTAGTATTGTTAGCATTGACCAAAAATTGCACATCAGCTGTAACATATATTTATTTATACATACACATCAACCTTATAATATTTAATAATTTTTAATAACAATAAAGTTTCAGGTGAATCCTTATAACCAATTATTGCACGACCCAAACCTAATTCCTCACCATGAAAAAAATGTGCTGGATAAAATACATGATAAATGATAATAATTAATAATATTTAAATTGATCATTATGTTATCATTTTAGGAGTATATATATATATATAGCCATTACATTTATGATATAAATTAACTTCCAGAAAACGAAAACCAATATAAAGAGGAGTGGAGATGCTTTAAAATGTGTTTAAATTATTATCGTGTTGATTGCCGATGATTCCTGCGGCCTTGGAAACCCCTATTTTAGAGAATAATTCTCTAATTTTGTAAAAAAAAAAAAAAATGGTGAAGTCTAATGCACTTCATCATACATAACATATTTAACCTGGAAAATGATAATATTTTTATAGGAACGCATTGTATTGTTATAATTATGTTTAAAATGTGGTAAGTCGTTTTAAAGTTAAATAACGTCAAATGTCACTGTAACTAACTTGATGACTTTGACAAAAAAAAAAAACATACAAAAGTTATAAATAACTATAAACTCAGTAATACATCAATAATATGAAGGAAAAAAAGAAATCAAAATTGAATGAAAATATTTAAATAACAGGTACATCTTTAAAATTTAATTTGTTAATATATACATAAATATAAATTATTTAAAAACACTACGCGTTTTTTATATCATTTATTTTGTTAAAATAATAAAAAAATAATTGAAAGATCCGTTTTTGTTAATACTTTTTTTTATATATAAACTTAGTGCATCTACGTGAAATTTATTTTACTTGACATTATTGTAATGTCTATCTGTTTTGTTTCAGGAGAATTTGGTTCTACTACATACATATTCCTTGACTCTTTCCTGTGACAAAGGTTGGACAACTTGCTCGAGTACAAATTTTTTTTACTGTTTTTATTATTTGTTGTGATTTATTATTTTAATTTGTGGTTATGTAATCCTTATACCTAAAAGACTGTCTATAAATATACAATTTTTTACTTTTGTAATTTTGATTGTTTTGTTTTAATACAATAAAAACTAGTCAATTATATATCAATACTTTGTTTATATTTAATTAAAACATTTTCTACAGTATAACTAATTGTTTATTTTCTTTCGTATAAACAAACTTTTAAATACATCTAGATCAGATTGGGTAACAATAACCTCCATCACAGAATAATCGCCGTCTGTATCAATACTGACTATGGCTGTGTGTGTTCTTAACCATTCATATTCATCACGACCAGTGCGGACCCGAATTTTAATTATTCGTCTACCAGTAGCTTTGATTATTTGACTTTCTATTTTCTTCTTCAGCTCGTCCAAACCCTCTCCGGTGGTACAAGATATCAGAACTGAACTTCCATCATGCTCTACGTTGTCTAGACGATCAACTTTGTTGCCAACATCAATCACACCATTCAATAAGTCTGGGTTGATGCTTAAGCTTTTTAGTGTCTTCTCTACATGAGCTTTTTGTACAATGACATTTGGATGAGACATGTCCCGTACGTGGACAATAACGTCAGCGAACATGGCATCCTCTAGCGTAGCGACAAATGGTTCGATGAGTCTAGTCGGTATGTCTGATATGAAACCTATGGTATCTACATATAATACGGTCATGTTGGACGGTAACACGCCCCCGTGCACAGTTACATCGAGTGTAGCGAATAGGCAATCCTTAGGCACTAGGCCTGCATCACCAGTTAAAGCTCTGACCAACGAAGTCTTGCCAGCGTTGGTGTATCCGACCACGGCAACGACAGGTAAGTCCTTGTTGGTCCTATTGTGGCGCAGGTGTTGTCGGTGGTTCCTGAGCTTGTCCACCAACTTCTTGAGCTTCTTCTCGTATGCCTTGAGCAAGTCCTTCTTATCATCATACATGAGCTTGCCGCTAAGGGCTATCTGGCCCGCCTCTGTGCCCAGTCGCTCGGCATACCCGTCCTGTGCGCCGCGTATCCGTGACCAGATGTATGGCAGCTCGGCCAGGGCAACCTGCAGCTTGGCCTCCCTAGTGACGGCGTGTCTGCGGAATATCTGCACCACCATCAGGTACCGGTCGTAGACAGGTACACCAAAACGGTGCTCCAGGTGCTGATGTTGGCCCGGCTTCAGCACGTTGACACTGACGAACACTGCTGTGATGCGGCGGTCTCGGGCAACCCTGAGAGCGATCGTGTCCACGTTACCAGGGCCAAAAAACGTATGCTTCCGGTATGATGTGAGGCCTACCAATAACGTGTCTGTCACAGACCATTCAGCCAAGGTGCGCACTAGCGACCGGCTCTCGTCCGCCTTGACTTCCGGCCTCGTGCTCCTGTCCTTGTTGACTCCCCATTTGATGTACGGCTGGACGATTAGCACCTGGTGACCGCCGGCCGGCGCCAGTTTTAACTGTCTGTCGATCAGTTCTCTGGCTTGAGCGTCATCTGCGCCGCTGCTAGTGCCGTCGTTATCATCACTACCACCACCGCTGCCGTACCATCTGACGAAACGGCCGCACCGCCCAGCCATCACTGTTCGTGCGAAGCGGCCCACGAGTCCCGGCATTTTCGCACCTTGTCTTTGGCCGCGATGTACGAAGCCGCTGCGCCTGCCGCCGTGGAAACGGCTAAGTGGGTCCTGCGAACCGCAGGAAACCGCTTGATGGCGATCTGCTGTGTCACGTGCACCACGGCAAACGCGAACGCCAGCGCGCCTAGCCCGGTGCCGTACGATCTCGTCAAGCAGTCCAAGTATGAGCTGAACCCCGGACGCGAGTCCTCGAAATGTTCTTTGAGTGCTGTTGAGCTGCTTCTGTTCATGGTATGCGACAGTGTCCAATGAGACTAGCGAATGAACATCGGACCGAGGGCAAACATAAATCAGTAAAACCAAATGATATTTTTTACATTCGTCATCACTCACCGTTGACTCCAATGACTCCGACAGTACTTCGGAATGTAGTTAGTACTTAGTATTAATATTATTAGAATTTTCAATTCATCGTTTCTATTTCGTTATCATATTTAACGATAATAAATTGTTGCAGATAACGCATAGAGTAATAATTAATAAAAAAATAAGTAATAATTACTCTATGAGATAACGCCGGTCTCATGGCTGATAAGTTTTGTAAGAATATTCTGTCATGTGTAGGTATACGACTGGTAACCGCCGACCGTGGTTTATTTTGAGTTTGAATGATTTAAATAATTTTCTTTGAAATTTGCATAGATAATAGATATTAGATTTCCTTTTTCCCTCCAACAGACCAACGATATTACGACAATAGCAGAACGACCGCAGCTGATGTCTAAGTATTGTTACATTGTGAAGTAGATGAATTTTCAATTTGTTATTATTATTTTATAGATTAATTTTACTAATCAGGTATCGTGAGATAAAAATCAGTTATATATAATAATTTAATTGATTTTATACTATTTCCGAAGCACCATACTAATATTACACTGGTTCAATTCCCTTGTAGTTGTTCCCAATTATGTCAGACGAACAGGACTCAATCGAAATTGAGTGAGTATCAAATAATTCTTAAATAATCATGAACTAGAAAGTATCTATCATTATTTTATTCAGTTCACTTAACGATCTAGTAATTTAATAAGAAAATACCAAACTTTTACTTTTTTATATTCAGAAAATACTAAATAGGTGTACAATTATTTATTTGCTTATTTTGAAATAATATGTATATTTTTTAGAAATCCTAGTAAAAGTGCCACCATCCTCTGTGTTCAGTACCTTATATCACACCACATGAAAACTAAAAGTGTCATTAAAAAAGATGATCTGATGAAAACTGTCTTCAAGGGTCGCAGTATAGGAAAAAATTACGAAAGAGTTATGGAAGAAGTGGAAATTACCTTAAAAAATGTAATATTCAAATTATTTCAAAAACATATATTTTTGTGCGAATTTAATTAATTTTGAAGATTTTACATTTCAGACTTTTGGATTTTCAATATCCTATATTAAAAATGACCACAAACAGTTCCTAATTGTGAATAATATGGATGAAATTGAAACTCATGAATTTTGTTCTTCTGAAGAATCAAAATATCGTGTTTTACTTAAACCAATACTTGGGGCTTTAGTTATGCTTCGTGCACCAATCAGCGAAGGTTATTATAATTTTAATTTTCTGCTTACAAAATCGTTATTTACTTAATTATAAGAATGATGTTCAATTTACAAACAAAATATAATATTATGATATAAAAATATTTTTCCAGGTCAAATGTGGAATATACTGGAGAAATTTGCATTTCAATTCAATTTAGACATGGATTTTATTAAACAAATTGTTAAAGGAGTAAATATTTACTTATTTAATATATTACAATTTTATCCCCAAAATGTTTATTATAAATTACTAACCTAAAATTTAATTTTTTTTTAACATTTAAATAATAAGAATGACTAAAATTTGGATAAATGTTCCCCGAGAAAGTTTTAGGTTGTGATTATTTGTTAATTTAGAGCATTTTTTAATTAATTGAACATAACTGTTTTTATTATATATTCATGATACAAATTGATAAACTAGCAAAGGCAATATGTGTTTGAAGTTTTGTTTATAATTACTTATAATGAACATGCTTCATTGCTTTTAGAGGCATCAATAAAGTATTTGTCACGAAAAGTTAATTTAGCTTTTATCAAAGTACCCATATAATACTACCTATATATTAAAATGTGTTCTTGATACGTAGATTCAAGATTTAGTTCTAATTAAAAAAACCACACTCAATGAATTAAACATTCATAAAAATAGTAATTTAGAGAATTATTTATGTTTTATATACTACCCAATAACTTTGGTAGAGGTTGAAAGACCACTATCTATGTTTAAAACTATGTTCAAGCCCATACTGTCAACACCTTTAAGTAGACAGTTTATTTAAATATAATATTTTAGTGAATTTTTTTTCTTAATACAAATTAGTTAATTTGGCAAAAAAACCCTTTCAATTTTTTATTTGCTTTTTTTATGCTTATTAAGTGCTTATTTATTGTTTTCATTACCTACTTTGCAGTCTTATTTTGAATTCCAAACCTCATTAATAAATAAGACGTGTGGTACACATCCGTAAAATAGAACAGTACTTATATTATATGTATTTCAAAAATAACATGTATAACAGTTAACATTTGAATCAATAAAAAAATATAAAGCTGAATAGAACAAGTTAAAGCATTGAAACTAATAATTATTTTTCTTGATCAATAACTTTTCATTTATTTCTATATTCTGGGCAAAAAAAATGTCTTAAGTTCAAGTTCACCAGTTAAGAACCACCAATTCATATAACTATAGACCTAAGTATTTCTGAAAAAATTGATTGTATTTAGAATTCTTAGGTTTAAGTTTTGTAAATGTGTTTATATTATATAGGTTTTTTTGCCATAAGTTGTATTGGATATAGAATTATCTTATTTTACTACGAGTTGTAAGTATGGTATTGTTATTTAAAAATGAACATAATATTTGTTGGCTTTGAGCCAGAGACTTAAAATTAAAACAATTTATTCCAACCTAGCCTAGTATAGAACTTTGTTATTTTCCAAATATTATATTTGTATACATCATATTATACAGTATATAATACATAAAAATTTTGATTTGATTTTAGAAATTTGTAAAAGATCAATATCTTCAATTCAAAATTACTGATGATACAACAGTATCGCTTGATCCAGAAAAAACTAGTTATTGGTTTACTTTAGGACCTAGAGCATTAGAAGAATGTGATCAGATAATGTTATTAAATCGAGTTAGTGAGGTTAGTATAAAATTCAGTTCTAAATACGGAATAACTTATAGGCATTAGATTAAACATTTTTTGTATTGTTTGCCGTCATTCTAACATACAAATATTATTTGCTGACTTACTAAAGTTTTAGTTGTGCTGCTTCTTAGGACACCGTTGCATTTGGCACACAAAAATGTCATTGGTATATTTGGTGACTGTACTGTATGTTCTTGATTGGCTACACCGTTTACAGTCATACCTTCATATCCTCGTGTGTTAATGACGGACCAAACAAAATATGGTTACTAAAAAACTATACCTCTGACCTTGTACACACTATACTTACCGCTAACCATTACATATTTAACATGTCAACAAGAATACCATTAAGTACTAAATGTCTAAATGGTACTATGTAGGGTTACTAACCTTTTTTATTTATAATCATGGTTGACTTTAATGGTATGTCTTATTTAAGTATCGAACTATAGACTGTGAACTAAAAATTTATTTTGGAATGTTTTAATTTTTACAAACAATTGTGTTTAACATAGATGAATGAGATTTTTTTATTATTACAAAAATATATCATTATTATTTAAAAATGTACTTATTTTAAGGTACTAACTATATTTTATTTACCTCTGATAATACATCACAATTATTGTTGTATCCTTATTATTTTTTTACAGCTGTACAAGAAGCCTCCCTCTTCATTCAAGCGTGTGTATGCTGCGTTGATTGAGAAATAAATGTTATTTTATAATTTGTTTAATCTTTATTACATTTCTCAAGAATATACAATGTACACAACCTATTTAAAATGTACAAAAAAAACCTTTTTATGTTTGCTAGTTGTGAACCATCTTAAGATTAAAATATGACAATAGCATTTGCTATTTATAGAGATACTGTAAAATATTGTAATAAGTATTTTAAAATTGTATACATTTATAACTTTTATAATATATTATACTTCTGACTGATTCAAGTTAAAAATAAAAATTTTTTCTCTTTATTTTGAATCCTATAATTCAGTTATCTAGAAGACGCAATACATCCAATGCAAACCGGTTGACCACTATTTGTTTTATTATTTGTTGTGGGTCATTAGAGCATACTATTAACTATTATAGTCAGTCATAGCTGATTTTATGGTAAACTAAAAAAAAAATTATTTTTCAAATCATTTAGTAGTTTGAGTTTATTTGAAAAGAAACTAAGAATTTTTAAATTTTAATAAGTACCTTACAAAAAAATTAAGGTACTTTTTTAACTAATATATTTTCCCACTTTTCCAATCATCCCCAGGGGTTGAGCATAACAGTGGTCTATCTCATGAAATTTTTTCTTACATTTATAAAAGGTAATGAGATAATTCAAAAATATTTTAACTCAACATCGGCAGTTTCTTTGTTTTTTTAATTTTACATCAGATTGCTGAGTTATATAATGAGTTGTATTGAAACATTTATTTGTCCATAATTATAGAGAAATGGCCTATGTTAATATAACCCCTTAATTGTTTAATGTAGCATATTCTACTGTTATAATTAGTCCTTCAAACATGTGCTTTGCCACATTCCGGAATTACATCAAAAAAATAAAAACAACTAAAACGATACTGATGAGCGTTGAATCACGGGCGTACGAAAAACCTTCACCTGGAGGACGCCAGAACAGTGTTCAGAACGTTCAAGTTCAGTTCTTAAAAAAGGAACTTGTTCACATTCATATTTGTTTTTCAAATGGACGCACTCAGGTTCATTGAAAAAATGAATGCCTTCACTGGGTCGTCCATTGATTTTTTTTTATAATAGGAATTATAATAAGAAAATATAATATAATATAATTAATCAATATATTTTTAACATATATTTATTAAATGGTAAATAAACTGAGTGTCATAAAAATAGTTAAAATTTATTAAAATATAAATGTTGTTCACATTCAATTTGAAAAAAAAGTGAGGTTCGCGTATTGTTCACTTAATATGAAAGATGTTCTTTGCAAACACTTCTTACTTCTAAGGATTGAGGGTCCTAAATGATATGTGTGACTTTCGTGGTAATATCTTCAATTAGAAGCCAGATATAAATGTATATACAACTGATTGTAAATGGTTGTGCCGTTGGCAGTCGACATAGTGTATATTGAAACTGAAGACATCAGTAACTAAATGTTTTAAAATTGTTATTACATCACACATTGCCGATATATATTGACAAATAAGTGTTATATATATTATATTATATTATGTAGTATGCTTAAGATATTCAAAACAAAAATGACAATGTGTTATAAACTAATTAGACTGACTAAAAAGGTATAACAATGTGATATAGAAGTTTGTATTAGATATACAGATTAATATTTATTGACTATTATTATTCTTTTTTGAAGTGAAAACAATTATTTAGAGTTTACAATGTCTGCCAACGAATCTGCATATAAATCTAGTCTTCGTGTCATCTGAAAATAAAATATTAAATTTAAATTATAAAAAAAGTTGGAAAATAATAATATTACTTGGAAACCCCAATGATCCTTTACTTGTCTACAAAGATTCAAGTCTATTTCTGAAATCAACAATCCATCACGAGTCCTAGAAAGGCCCTAAAAAGTACAATATAAAATATGAATAAATTACTATTTGAGGGTTCTGTCACAGGACAGCCTCCCTCCTCATAAATATTCTCCATTTTATCTTATTTGCTTACTGTACATACTATGCTACACATTACCATTTTTTCTATTTTAATAAAAAAAAAAATTAGTTATTAGTTGTCTTTATTTTTTAAATTAATACTAAATATATTATAAATCAAGACAATTTTTTTTAATTAATAGAATTTCTAAGACTTATTTACAATCATCATTGGCAAATATACAAACGACAATAAGAAATAGTATGGAAGTTAATTTTAGTTCAAAGTTAATTATGGTTATAAAATTATGTACGATATGTTTATTTTGCTATATATAGAAAGTGAATTTGAATACTATTTGTACTAGAAATAGTTCTCATTGTAATTTCTACACATCCATAAAGAGATTGTGTTGTACATTAAGTTTTTTCAATAAAGAAATAATAATATTAAACCAAAAGTAATGTATTTATTTGTTTCAAAAAAAAAACTAAACAATTATGAATTATGAGTTGCACTTACTTCATTATTATCATATTAATAATAAATTTTATATGCATATAAGCTGCATAACATTTTGTTTATGAGTGTTTTTTGAGTGTTAAAAATGTTAAAAGCCTTAATAATAATAAAATGTAATTTTTTTAAACTTAATATTATTGTTAATTATTGTTGGTTTTTTTTTATCATCTTAGTAAATTCTAAAATAAATAATTAAATGTCTTACAGGAGTTCTTGAACCATCAGGGGCTGTAATATAGCTCGATCCATAAAAATGACCAAAACTTTTATGTGCTGGTTTACCATCACCGCTAGTGAACTCAGACGGAAAAGTTTCTGTACCTACTCTGTTGATGGCACAAGAAAAGTAACTATTGGCAACTGCAGCTGTTCTGGCTTCAATTCCCCAAAGTGTCTCACTACAATATGTGACATTTATTTCAAAATTAAAATACTTTTTTTTTATTAAGCATTGTATTCATGTTTACCTTAGACCATCAATTGTAGCCGAAGGGTTGAAAACAATTTCAGCTCCATTTAACCCAAACATCAACCAATTCAGTGGATGGTGGCGTCCATAACAAATATTGATTGCAATTCGACCGAAAGCTGTCTAAATTAATCTACTATTGGGCGATTTGTTGCTTTTATTTTCTAGCCTAATTTTAGAAATTATGTACCTCAAAAACAGGGTGTCCCGTGTTTCCTTCCATGTAGTAAGTAGACTCGTTAAAATCACCCACTCGAGGTATGTGGTTTTTCCTATGTTTTCCAATTACTTTTCCAAAGTTATCTATGACTACAGCTGTATTCCATATCACCTCTTGTTCATCACGTTCCAGAATTGGTGATATGATAACCATGTTGTACTGTTTACAGATCTGTTGAATAATATAATATAGTTGATTTGACTTTAAAGTTTAAATGTATATGTTCCGCAACACCCACGTCTTTTAAAAACAAAGTTGTTGGCCCTGTTTCAACTGATTCAGCAAACTCGCACCATGGAAATTTTTCTCTTGTACAAAACACAAAGGGCATTGCTAAAAAATGTACATTTTATTTAGAAATATACATAGGATTTATTTTTCATAGGTTGTCTTACGCCAAGCTTCTTGAAGGCATAACACATTCACGTTAGCTTCAGCAGCAAGTGATATTATCTTGCTTATCTTTTGATAAATTGCATTACGTTGTTCAGATAAAGGAGCTGTAGTTGGAAGAACAATTTGATTTTGAATAACTCCAACTCTTACAATCCTTGTAAATTTCATATTTTTTCAAATTATTTTTCTTACTAACATGACAATTTAGATTCTGAGTGGAACCAAATGCTTTGATTTTACAGTGACTTTTTTTGAAGCAATACAAATGGTTTAATTTTCTGAAAGGGAAGTGAATCTAGTTGGTAAGTTGAGGAGTTAAAAGTAAAATATTCATATAACTTTTTTTAATTATTGGGAAAAACCAAAATGGAATTATGGAAAAACAGGAATTTTACACAAAACTTGTTTTTGACAAAATCAATTTTTTAGTTTATTGTAATTCTTAAACCAATAATAGTAGGTACTTGTAAATTTCATTAAATATTTATACTGACATTTTCTATATTTGGTATAGTTTTAAAATTATTTTGACTCATTTTGATACATTGATGAACTTAAATTTAATTTTTTTTTATAAAACAAAATGTATGCTCTGTCAAAAAGGTTGAAAATGTAATATAAAGTTCCTCTTAAGGAGTTATTAATAAAATACAAATACCTAAAAAATATTTAGGCAAAATTATTTTTTTCATTGACTTTGGAGTTCAAATTTTAGTGGTAACTATTATTTAAACAAAAAATTATTTTTTTTATTATTTTGTTGCAATTTAAGAATATTTGTGGAGACTTGAAACTTAACATAATTATTATATTTTACTATACACAATTACATTTTCAGAACGTTTATATTAAATTTAAGTTATTCATACCGTACTTCTAATATTAAAGTATGGGAAAATACGTTAAAATACATTAATATAGTAGCAATGTAAATATATATAGTAATATAGGCTGACCAAACATCTCTGCTCAGAATCGTTTTACGTTCAATGATTTATTATTGAATTTAAATTTAACGCATTCATTAGAGTCCAACGTAGCAGTGACCTACTTAATGTTGAAGTACACCCAACGACCCAACACCTATTGTACAGCAGAGGGTTACCTACTTGCCACATTTTATATTTGATAATTTAGAATTAAACCAAATTTTAAACAACATAATTAAGATATTAAGTTAAATTAAAAAAATATTAATTTTACCGTTTTTCTCGTAACTCTTCAGTTAAACTATCAAATTTGAAACCTTTAACTTCCACATTATCTACATTATTTATACATGACTCTGGCAGTTGGAGTTCCCTGAAAAGTGTACAATTTGAAATTAAAATCATTGTTTACTTTAATCATTATTATTTTAGTTTAAAACTGCATCACATATAAATTAATATTTAGCTATAATACAATTTGGTTTATGTATATACCATAATATCTTTTTCTAGGATATATCATTAAAAATATAAGGCGAATTAACCTCTCTGTAAATAGAGATTTTCCTCTTTCAAAACTATTTCTGAATGGAAAATTTATTTCTGGAATTAATCAACAATTGAAATTAATATTACCTAATCACGAATTTCTCCCAAAAACATTCAACATTTGATTTTTAACTGAACTATTATGTTCTATTTTTTTGTTTAAGAAATCAATAATTTATTTTTGTGTTTAGATAGTACAAAATAATATTCAAAAGGAACTATTGCATGTACTAGAAGTTTTCTAAAAATTTTCACTTTTCAAAATCAGCATAAAATATCAAATTATGATAATAATTAAATGGTATTTTCTTAAAAATCAAGTTATCTGTTGTCTTTGCGGTTGCATATTAGTCATTGTAAAAATAATTGACACAATGTAGCCTGTAGGTTAAAGGTTTTATCATCAAATCACAATTTCACGGTTGACGAAAAAAACTCACTCTAATTTTTTTCCATACAAGATCCTCTGCACATGTTCTAATTCTTCTTGTGGAATATATTTCTCCAAACAAGTATCAATATTTTGAAACATTTTTCAATTGTAGTGGGCAGGCAAGATATCTTCAGTACTTCTCAGTGGTAACACCTTGAGTTGTGTATCTGGTTACAATAAAAAAATAATAAAAATATTTATGCAGACATAACTTTAAAAAAGTTATAAATTAAGTGGTACGTGTCTATATTATAGTATACGTATTCTATACTGGTATAATCCGTCTACTTACATTTATAAGCCAGTTGGGTGATGAATAAAAGTTTTTAAAGAATTATAATTTAGACTGATGTTTTATGAGACAATAATTATTGACGTCTTTCGTTTTCGTCCTTCATAGTTCATATTTCATATCTTAAATCTTTATAATATTATTATTTATTAATTAATATTTAATAATACTTTACAAACTATCTACCACCTGAACTCCGCCCAATTCATTTAAAATAAACAAGTGATTTGCGAATTTAGATAACAAAAATATGCACACGAGCACGTGATTTGTGATAACAGTTTTCAAACTGTTATCATAATAGGTATAACAGGAAAGTTAAACACAACACTTTTATTGGTATAAAAAATAAATATCTGTACCTATATTAGTTAATTTATTAATTATTAAGTTAGTTATCGGAATTCCAAATTTCGAGAGTCGAGATTTAGTCAGATAATTGTAAATATATTATGTATCTTACACGAGACGTTTTCGAATTATGTATTAAATAATTAATAATCTTTAACAAATTGCTACAATATCCCAAAGGCCATAACACTTAAGTAAGTAATCTTGATTGTATCGGTATTCAATTTTGATATTGTGTCTGTAAAAAAAATTATATTAAGACATGTAAAATATATAAATCAGTTATCAGTTTTTATTATTATCCATGTCCATACATAGATATAGATACTTTGTTGTAGAACGTAATTTTGTTTGTTTAAAAAAAGAAAATGAAGAATACTCAAGGTGTAATATAAAAATGTCAACCTACTCGTTTGTTAGATACTGCTGTGTATTTAAATCAAACATTGTGATAAATACCAAGGTATTAATATGATTAATTGTTGAGTAGAGAGTTATTTGAATGTTTAGTATTAAGTTATCTACAAAATTAGTACTTACAAGAAAATTTTTTTTTTAGTATGTCTAGTGATTTCCCTATTGATGTAAATCAATCATTTGAAAATGTGCAGTCAGTTAATAAGAATAGAAGCCTCAGAGGATTATTTTTAGTGGGATTAACTGGTATGTATATATATATTTCTCATTAGTACCTATCTATAACGTTCAATGTTTGTTTATAAATCTTATAGGGTACCTCTACCAATTTAAATCTATTAGGCTTATATTTTTAAACTATGCATACAAGTATTTATTACTCTACAATTTTATAATTTTGGTGATTATTTTTGGTTGTTCTAGGCGGTATTTCTATTGCTTTGAGTGTAATTTGTTATCCATTCGTTTCTCCAGCTTTACGGAAAGTATGTTTACCTTATGTTCCAGCTACAAATATGCAAATCCAAAATGTACTGAATGTAATCAAAGGGCGAAAAGGGAAATTAGTAGACTTAGGCAGTGGCGATGGAAGAATAGTATGTAAATAAATGTATTATGTCTTAAAAATGTATAGTTTTATATATTATAACCTACCCTGTATGATTCTACTTAAAAATTTTAATTTTAAAATAATTTCTTACATAGGTTATGAATACGGCGAAAGCAGGATTTGAATCAGTTGGTGTAGAGTTAAATTTTTGGTTAGTGATGTATTCACGTTTGGTTGCCATGAAATCTAAAATTCAGCCTTCTCCAAAATTTATTCGAACAGATTTGTGGAAATATCACTTAGGACCTTTCACAAATGTTGTAATATTTGGTGTTGAAGAAATGGTTAGTAATTATTTAATAATTTTCTATGAATATATTATAAATTTATACAAAAATATAATTGTAACACATTTTTATGCAATCCTACAGTATTACATTATGAATTATACTTTTAAACTATATTTTACATTTGATTAAATTTTATTTTTAGCTTGTCTATTAATTATAATTTTAGGTTGATAATGTAAAACTTATAGTTTGTATAGTATATTATTAGTATGTATATATACTCTGTGGAAGTTAAGAAACATAGTCGGCTGCAACCAGGTTTTGTTAGTTCGTGGTCAGGCAGTACTTGTTTGTTTACCTCACCCAGTCAACTATCTGCATACCGGCCATGTAGTATTGCCACAACCTTGAGCACAAGTTGGTCTTTGACTATGTTGTATAACTTTAACAGAGTGTATTAGTGTGTATTATCAATGTCTATAACCTCATATTTATAACCGTAGTTTAACTATATATATATAACGTCTATTTACAAATACACATTTTTTTTTTAGATGTTGGATCTGGAAAAAAAGTTCTCTACGGAATTGTCTGAGGGAACAGTAATAGTTGCTTGTCGCTTTCCTCTCCCAAATTTAGAACCTTACTTAGTCATTGGCACAGGAATTGACAGAGTTTGGGCTTATAGAATATCTAAGACCAAACCATAATCCATCAGAACATGTTTTTATAGGTAATCATATTATTTGTGTTATTTATTTTAGTATAAAAATGTATATTATGTAGCTGACAAACTGACATGAAGTTTTCTATGTATAGAAAAATAACAAATAAAATGAATATTTGTGAACAAATATTTAGAACGAAAATAGTTATTGAATTTTTAACTACAATTTAAAAATGGGAAAATGAATAAAATCCCGAATTAATAACAATACTATTTAAAAAAATCAAAGTGGACTAATAATTTAAAATTACAATAGTGAGGATACATTTGGGGGTTGAATAATTCAGGTAGGCATTTTAATTATATTTAAAACAAGTTATATGTCTATACTTACTATAACTATAATTAATTAACTATTAGTTTTTATGTATTCTATCAATATATATTTCACTAATAGTTCATACTCAGTTGTATTATGTATTTGATATGTAGTTCTGTAATTGGTACCTAGTAGGTAATGATCCTAACAATAAATATTTAATAAGATTCACAATTTAAGTATATAATTTACCTACAAATATCTGAACATTTAAAATAAAATACAAATAGGCTCAAATCAATGAATTTTTATTTTCTATTATGTTACAAGATAGTGTATAATAAATAATAGTTTAAATAAATAATTTAAGTTAAAAAAATACGTAATGAAATGTCAATGGATATCACACTCTTATCATTAAGAGATCACAGTAAAAAAAAAATGCCTTGATGAAAAATTAAAGACAACTAATTAATGAATATGAAAATAAATTGGCTATATTAATTTCAATAATAATTTACAGGTTTTACTTTAAACTTTTTTAAACAAAATTTAAAGTTATTTTTCAAACGAAAAATTGAGCAATTAGATTAGCTAGTCCGATTAATGATATTGAAATGTGAAAAATGACTGAACCAAATGTTAAAAGATTGCGCCTTCTCTGTGATGCCAAATGTAACATGGTTGGTAATGTATATATGTAGACAAATCCACAAATTGCTCCACTAAATCTAAGGAAAATACAGTAATATATTGTTATGTACAGATTTAATTAAGAAAACATAGGAACACAAACAGAAAAATAAGGATTTTCTTACCGTATTACTGTTCCTATATGTGGCATGAAGATTGCAAATAATATGCATATGAAAATTACAAAACAATTAAGTGCAATAACGTGTAAAACACTGGGGTAGATTGATAGCTCAAGAGCTGCAAACACTTGTACTCGTAGCATGTATGATATCAAAGGATAGACAGTCAATAATTGAAAGAATAGAAAAACTCTAGCAATGATGCTAAATACATCTGTTCTAGGAAAATTGTTCAAAAAATTCTGAAAAAAACCAAAAGATATTAGCAACCCACTTATTACTGTTATTATGTACATACAATTAAATATTTAAAGCATAATAATTAACAATTATGTGTGATTCCACTTTCAAGTACCATAATGTATTAACTTAACTGTAACTATAAGTTAGATGGTAAAAACAAAAACGAAACTAATAGTCACAGAAATAGTTTTTAAGACTGTACTAGACTTATATTTTATGCTGCCTTGATTAGTTATGAATTAGTTTAAAAACTTGTAAAAGTCAAAATATTATCATCAATTATCTTTGAAATTGAGGCTTGATTTAATGGTTTATGTTTCATTTTAGTAACATGGCATTCAAAATTATTGTTCAATATTTTTCTTTGCTTATTGTTAATATTTAATAGTTAACACAACTTACTCTTATTAAATGTTAACATTAAGGGGAGGTCACACATGTGTTGTCTCTGTCTTACAAAGAACTGTAAACTTGATACAACATATCAAATTTGCATTTAGCAGAACCAGTTTTGTATTGTCAGCTTTAATATTAGGACAAATTATTCTATGATTAAACTTAAAGTTAGGTATAAGTTGTATAGAACATTTTTTGCATTTGTACTACGTTCTTGCACTTTTTATGAAAATTTGTTATAGAAGTTATCAGTGTGTATAATATTGCATTTTAAAATTGCTTAAAACATGCTTAGAAATTAAAATATTGTAAAAAACCAACTTAAAACTTGAGATTCATTCTATATTAATGTTTACATCACAAAATCGGTTCTTCTGACACAGGTTTGTTATGTTGTATGTTGTAATTTGCTTTGTGAAGTTAGAGTTAAATGACAATACATGTGGGTATGAAGTCCATTTTAATGGTTAATGAAGTGACTGATTTATAGAATTACATCTGTTAATGTACAAAAATGTTATTTAACTAATAGAAATAGAAATGCCAATTTAAATTGTTCTAAATTAAAAAAAATACTAATAATTTTTTATTTTATTGTTATAAGATTGACATTTGACAAATAAATTAAGTTCAGTTATTATATAATTTCTTTATAAAGTAGGTAAAAAATAATTTGTTAAAATTTGAATTTTAAAATGTGTATTCTTATTTCTTATTCTAGTTTATTTAAGATGTACTATATTATGTACATTGTATTTTATTATCTACAATAGATTTATAGCTCATAAGTCATATTATCGACTTTTGGCAAACTTTGTACTTTGGCCCCAGAGTGCTTATTAGAATATAATTTGTATAATATTAGTAGTTATTATATTATACTTACATCCTCGATGCATGATTTAGCTAATGGAAAACATACATAGAAAGTAATTCCAATTAATATATATGTTAGGAGAACAAGAGTGAATGCTATTGATAGATCACGGCCCTAAATGTAATGAAAACAATTTCAAAGTTAGTATTTGATTTTAAAATAATAATATAGTTACTTGCATTATGTTTTTGATTTTCATTATTTCTCATTATCGTAATGATAATATTATGTATGAACATCGATAATGTAAGCATACCAGACGTTGCAGGAAATGTGTTTTTATAAAATTCAGAATAATCTGTTAATCCTTCTATAGTTGGTGCAGACATATTTATTCCCCAACTATATGATTTTATTAGGACAAATATGAATAGATACAGCACAGCCAGAGTTCCTAGAAAATCAATTTAAATCTATTTAAGTATATACAGAGTAATTCACTAAGCATGCTCACTTCCATTTTTTCAAATTTTAATTTTTGGAATTTTTAAATACTCCTCAAATCCATTTGCTCGCTTAAGGTTATCCAGTGGCAATTTAAACTTCTATTTTTCAAATGAAAACACCCTTTCTAGTTTCTACTGTAAATTAGTTAGTGAGTAATTTTTTTGAAAACTTTTATGTTCCTAAATCAAAACTCGAATGAGTAGTTTCCCAGTTATCAAAATGTTTAAAATAAGAATAATGGTCCTTAAAAATGGTTTTACAAAAATAAGAATTGAATCTAGTATTTATTATATTTAGACCATTTTTACAAACTATAAATATTGATAAATTAATATCAATCAGGTACTAAATTAATGTTCAAATAGCTATTCCCCAACATCTTCCAAACCCATTATCATGAGCCTATTGTCCTTAGAATTCAATGATAAATAACTCGTGAGGCACTCCTTTGAATTTTTATTGTGATACATTTCCCACAAAAATATATCCGTTAAATAATTTGTACTAGAAAAAGGGCGTTGTCATTTGAGAAACAGAAGTTTGAGTCTCCACAAAATACTCCTTAAGTAGTACAAATAACTAAATAAAAATATGGAATGAGCATTCTTGGTGAATCGTCCTATACCTATACAGTGATACAAAGTGTTTTACCGTGTTCATCGCCGTCAATAAATATATTATATATTATATTTATGACAAATTTGTTTTTTAAGTTTTTAAACTATTTGTTCCTATTATTTTTTATGCAAGTATAGACGTTAACTATATTATAGGTATTAAATTGCTCTTTTTAAATTGTATTTAAGATTTGAAAATGTATAACTGTAAATATTATGTTAAATAATCATAACATTTTTTTAATTACCTACGAGAAAAATTGTCCCAAGAAACTGAATAAATTTAAAATTTTTAGAGACATAAATTAAAAAACTCATTGATATTTTCTAGTGAAAACATTAAAAAAAAAACTAAAATGAATAACCTTGTACATCCACAACATTATTCAGTAATCGTTTACCCAATGAAAATAAAAATATATAAATATAAAACGCCGAGTTGTGAGACAAATGCGACTATTATATAATTACACCAAGCGTGTAGTGGCATGTTCATCAATTTACCCAAAGAATTAAACTTCGTGAAAAACGTGGCCGATCTAAAGTTCAACAGCGGGGCAACGATCACGACGAGAAATATCGGTACCGTTGTGTTGAGATCCCAAATTCGTTCGTATAATGTCCACTGCCTGGTCGTGTTGGACGTAGCATTTATATAGTCCGAATTGCTTGGACATATAACTGAAACGAAATGATTACAATTTACATGATATGATAAGGAATTTTTTTGGTGGGTAGGGGACCCAGGGGGTGTGATTAGCGTCTCTACTTTTTAAACTAGCTCCCTCATATATTTATGCCATTTGTGAACTTAAAAAAAAAAACCTTAAAAAGTTCACATAATAACGCAATCGTCAGCTGTGGTCGAAATGGCTCAAGATAAGTGGAGGGATGTCCCCTTACAATTCAGATTTAGGCCTATACGAAAAATAAAAAGTTTTCTTATACATAGATATAAATATAAAAATCATAATAAATATTTAATTTTAAAACACAAGTCTTAGGAGGAATGCGTTATTCTAGACAAAATAAGTAGAGGGATGAAAAATGTAAATACAAAAAAGTGGAGGGATGTCATCAATACACATTTTTTTAGAAATACGGGCTTGGGAGGGTGCCGCGACCTTAATGACCCTTGGCATTCGATATTTCGAATACAATTTATCCAGACGCATAGTGGGTTTAAATTTTAATACTCTGACTTACGGTTAGTAGTGTTGAAGTCGAACGACCCCGTGTTTTCGTCCGCAAAGAGCAAATCTGCAGCCGCGCCAAAAGTTTATTTTATGATTATAGGTTTATCAGTCGGTCACAATAATATTATAATTTTGTCTGGAAAAATTACGATTTTGCCTTACCGTGAACATATCCGACAGAATAATATAAAAAATTCGACATCAATATCCAGTACACTATGTTGGCACCTAGTAAAATTATGAACGAGAATAGTTTCGCTATTACTTCGGCCCAAGGGCCCAGCAACTTTTTGCTCAATTGTGCTACTTCGCCGGTATCGTTTCCTTAAAAAAAAAATGAACATCACAACATTAGAAAATGTAATTTTTTTATTGCTCAATCGCTTTTTATGTAGGCAATATACATAAACTTTTTCACTCATTGTCATTTCCAGGTATAAAAACACCTGGCGAATAAACGATACGGAACCGGGTGGAATTATTGTGCTAAACAGTTTTCTCCCGTTTCTAGTTTTTTGAACGGAAAAAAAGGTATGAAAGCACCTATCAGTTGTCTCTTATAAATTCTATTCGTGGGTGGTGGGCCATTAATTAATCATGATTTTCGAAACATATTTACCGTGAAGTACTTGCACTCTAAGAATGCGATTGGACGTGTATAAGCATAGTGCAGCTATGATGAACATTAGTAATAACCCCATCACTAGTCCTGCACGTTCCACGCTCCAAGGCATTGCCAATAGGGATGTTCCCATTATTGTGTTCCATATTGCGAAACTAAAATCAAATATTATATTATTTATAATACCTAGTCTAGTCAATCTATCGATCAAATAAATTATAAATATGTGTACACGTTGATTCGGCACTTATCGTAATATGTCGGTATTTTTTTGAAATTTGTCTACAAAATAAAAAATATATTTGTGGGGTTATGAACATATAAGTACCCAGTTGTTGATTGGTAAGTATTCTACTTTTACGACGAATAAATATCTAATGTTGTACACTAAAATTGTTCGTGTTTTTAGATAGTGTATAGCTCAAATTTTCTATGAAGGATTTCTTTTGGGGGTGGGGTAGGCTAATTGCTAAACTTAATATAATACATATAGGTTCGTTTTGCGTATATTATTTAATATTTATGTTGCAGATCCAAAACCATATACATAGAACCATAGAACCTATAGAGTTGCCGCCGATACCTAAAAATTCGCCAAATATCTTGGTTTTGATTAAAACAGCCCTAACACGATCATAATATTGAAAATATCAAAACCGTTTCGGTACCTATTTATTGTCGCGTTCTTATTGATGTCTCTAATTTTGATCGAGTATGGGCCGCTTTAGTAGCTTATTCCGTTAGGGAAATCCTATAAGTTCTAATGCTAATGGCATGTCGCATAAATATAGAGGACTACCTACGATCATTTCAGCAGAGATCTACCATAGTAGAGGTGACAACAAAAAAGTTACGACCGATAGTTGAATGTTGTTAGTTTTTTAATTGTTGACTTCAATTAGTGCATACTTGAATAATACAGCATATACGTAGCTTATAAAACGGCCGCTGAGTCACTAACATTAGTTTAACTTTCAATTTGAGGAAGTGGAAATTCTTTCCCCAGATTTCCTCCACCCCAGTTCGTTCTTCTTTTCTGAATTATTTTCAACACCAATGAGTTTCTGTCTACTCTTTCTCTCGTTCCTTAGAACACCTCATCAACATTTCCGTAAATAGGAGTATTAGAAGTCTTATAGATTTCATTAAATTTAGCGACAACAATTTTAAATCAGTCGACTGACTCCGAACTTTATACTTTGTACTTGTAAGACCTCTTCCAAAATATGGTGTGGTTGTTTTCCACCCTTTCCTTGCAAAACCTCGCCTTGAAACTGTTCAAAATAGATTTGTATTTTAATATTGTTCTTATATTCTTAATTTCCCAGCTACCCACCATGACTTTAATTATTCGTGAAGTCCTACATCATATTCATGCTTTTTCCTAACGACATTGAAGCTGACCAACAGTTTATTAATTCCCTTTTAAATAGCTTTGAATACTCCAGATGTTCTTGTAAGAATCTCGTTTAGAGTTTCTTTTTTATTTTACCCGCCATCGCCATCAGTTTCCTTTATTTGTCTCAAGTCACATCACATTGTAGGTACGTCCATAACCACCATTTACTGCACGTTCAGAACTTGTAGTCAATAATAAATAACTTATATCTTGGATCTATTACTTTACCTATTATGTTTGTTAACCATTTTGTAACTTTCGTTTAGCGTTTATACTCCATTAAAAAAATATATACATGTATAATATATATTATTTGTCAGTAATTAGAAAAAATGTAAATAGTTAATTAAAAAAAAAATGTTTTATAACATTGATCGGTAGGTACGTATACCGGGTTAATGAATGAACTCAAATAATTATCTTGATGATTTATAGAAATATGATGGTGTTTCTAAAACCAAAAATTCGAATTCTATATAATAAGTTTCATTTATACGACGTTTGTTATGTATGAGCGAATAATAATCGTATGGTATCCTATCCCAACCCCCTGTCGTTCACAATGTAAATATGTCACTGACCTCGGGCACAATAATTTTCGTGATAATTATATTTTGTAACTCGGGACGGAACTCGGTTGAAAATAATCGTGTGTTTTTATTTCGAAAATTTGAGTGCCCTATATAATTACTCATCATTATAATATTATAATATAATCTATATATATATTATATATACACACAATATATACGCACACAAATAAGTAAGCCCTGTACCCGCCGCTATATTTCACGGGTTGTTGAACCCTACGGGTAGACCCGGCGTGCGTGAGGTGCAACGACCCCAGACTCTCCGGGGTTAGTTTGGCAGATCAATAAACCCCTTTTCGCCGCCGCCGCCACCGTCTACGTGTTAGTCTCGGGGAACCGCTCGCATTCCGCCGCCGACGTCGCTCCGCGGCTTTACCCCCATTCATCGAGTGCCGGCCGGCCGGCCGGTCGGCGGTCATCACTATTATATATTTATGCACATATATATTTATATATAGGATACAAGCGTGCCCTTTTACGAGTTCCGTAATTCTTCAACCACAGTACAAAAACATTATGCATAGATTGTCGGTGTATACATTTATAAACGACATGTCTCACTATCTCTCGGCGGCCCTCCGTCTCTAAAAAATGTATGCGGCACGATCGTTCGTTTATTCACAACCTCTGCGGCGGGGATGACACTGCAACGGCAGACGTCAGACTGCACCGAATAGTAAGGTAACGCACTCGAGCATATGATATATTATAGCTGATGTAGAGTAGTCGGTAGACGCGTGTAACGTGTATAATAATAATAATAATAATAATAATTAGTGTTTAATCAAATATATAATTATGAACTGTGTAGGTATAGAAAAAGTGATTGTGAGCATATCGTATAAATACATCATTTTTCGAATCCTCTGAATTTTGTTTTTGGCCCAATTATATACCCGCCATGGGTTCCTACAGACAATACGACACACGTATTAGGACTCGAATGTAGTATGTACTATGGTCTTGGTCTATGATGAAAAATGTAGACACAATGTAAGTGTTATATACTATTATGTTTTATTGTATTGGTAAATTTTATAAGCGAACACATCATTGCATGTCGCCACGTGATGTCACGCAAGTTGCCACGGATATCCGTAAATATTGAATATATTTATACAAAATTTAAATGTCGAGTATTTTTTAGAAATATTCATTTACTCATACCTACTAATTACGATGTTACAACTAATTGAACTGTGATAGTGTGATTTATTGATTTTCACAATTATATGAAACATACACTAGTCAAATAAGAACCTAATACTTAATAAATGATAAACGATAATAAAATATAATGTTTAAAAAAAATACTTACATGGTAATTATACTATTTTGGGTGTATGGCTCATTGGTAATCTATAAAATGTTTAAACACATTTTTGTTAATTTAATAAGTGACACAATGTGGTATTGTAAAAAGTTATCACTAATCATTTTGTAAAAATATTTACTAAGATTAGACTTTTAACCTATTTAATTTGAAACATAAAGATTATAATATTGTATTCATTAACCAGAGTTTTGACAGTTTAATGAAACCTATATATTTATAGATGATAATAGAATAGTCATGAGCACCTAACTATATTTAAATAATTTAGATTTTTATTGTTTAAATATATATTAATAAGCTATTTTAAATTTTAATCGGATGTACCTATTGGTTTTACAATCATGTGTGTTTTATTTTTTGTATACAAATTTTATTGTTGTATTCGTATAATCTTTTGAAGAAATAAAAATGGTTTAATATTTAACTTTGAAGGTGGTTGTTCGTTTCTGGTTTAAAATCGGTTTAAGTTTGTAACTGGGTGAATCTCGTTTATACTTCAATGGCCTCCTTCATCTAATACAAAGATGTGTGTAGATGCCATTAAAAAAAATATATTGTTGAATTTTAAGTAATTCTGAACTAAGTATAAATTGTATATTAATATTAAGCAGACGTAACGAACATATTACAAATAAATTAATACGTTTTCTAAAAACGTGGTGAATATCATATCTAGGGAACTCAAATTTAAAAATTAAGAAGCTGAATTTTTTGGTGTTGCAAGACAATTACAATACATCAACACCTACCTAAAAATGTTTTGTCAATGCTGGATTTGTGACATCCTCATTACACCACTGTTGTATTTTGGCTCTTTTTGAGCTATTTATTGACTATATTTTAATTTTTATCGATTTATGTTGATAATATTTTCCGTGACAAAAAGCTTGAGTATTTAATACAAGGGTCCTTATAAGTTCATACAGCAATCAAAAAATATTGAAAATACATTAGCACTGTTTTTTTTTATAGCCATTTGAATTTAAAAAACAACAAACAACTTTTTATCAACGTTTAAAAACAATTAAAACTAAAAAAAAAAAATTAAAAATTGAAAATGTCAAATGTCTATAAATAGCTCAAACGCTACAAAATATTATGTAAAAAAATTATAATATATATATATTGTATATTATATAGTACATATTTGGTGAACATTTTAAGTATTTACATTTATTTGTTTCTGAGTTACAATTTTTTGTAATTTTTTTATTATTAAAAATAATATCGAAAACCGGTTTCGCTTAAAAATCTCGGTTTTTCTCAAATTTTTTATGTGTTTTTCGGATTATTTTGTAATTAACTGGGAATTTTTACTTTTCTTCGAAGTACTCCCTCAAAGTATCAACTAGAAATTCGATTCAGAAACCACACTCAAAGTTGGAAATCAAAGCATTTTTAAGTTTAAAAATTTAAAAAAAACATCATTGTAAAATCAATATTCATCGCCCTCTCAGAATCTAAAATAAGTTACTAATGGTGATGTATAATGTGCGTGCAGTTATTAAGTATAAAATATTCTTATACATTTTTGCTGGCTCCCCTCAGAATTGTAATTTTCATGCAATGCTTTAATATGTAATTGAAAATTAAAAAAGAACCATTGAACAGTAACACAGTCAATATTTAGTACTCGAGAGTTACCACTCGATGATTCGGTACACTCCAAACATACTATACCTACATCAAAGCGAGTATTAATTTATTTTTATTATATAATTTATATTTTCCATTAAATTACTGTTTGTTATTTTTAAATTTCATTATAAGAAGTTTATTTTGTGATTTTAAATTAATTAATTAATTATATACGACAAATATCTAAACTTTATATAATATACCTATGTCCTATAACAACCTATTTTGTTATTATTATACGTCCAGAGTAGTTGGGTATTTTATTATCAGTTAGTTTTAATCATATTTAGAAATAATGATATTTTTATTTTATAGTTCTTAAATAAATTAAATAATTGGGATTGTAACATTTTATATGCATTAAAATTTAATAGGTACCTCACAATCGCTTTCTTAAGTCTTGGTTACAATTACATGTATAAATTGCCTATTGAAATTAGAAGTGTAAAACTAATATTATAATCATTTATATACGACTTCGTTTCAAAAATATAAAATTAAAATTAGTTACACATTTTTCTATTCTATATTAACTGATTCGTGTTCAAAATATCACCACAAAAAAAGTAGAATACGATATTATTTTCAAGGCTCATTATATCATATTTCGGTTTTCAAAATTCGAGGTATACCATGTTATAGTACGTAACTATAGGTTCAAAGCATTAGAAACCATACTGGGGTTAGCAGTGTGTGAACGTTATTGATGTATAAAAATAAAATGTTTTAATAATTTTTTATACATATATATAATGTATAATAAGTAATAACATATTTTATCGTTTTTTAAATTTTTTTATTATACTAAAAATTAATTTAAAATTATTATAAAAGTATTATTTAATTTAAATACCTTTTATTCGTATTTATATAAAACGCATGTAGCAGATGTTAATGATCAGTGTATATACCTTATCGTAAATATTAGTTTATAATATATTTTATCAATTCATTATTTATTAAGTTACTATGGACGTAGGTACTGTTATACGTAATTTATAAATTATAAATGCCAATAAAAGAAAAGAAAAAATATAAAATGTTAGGTTAAAGTACCTAATTATTATATAAAAAACTAAAATATTAGTAATTAATTAGTCTTAACGATAGTAGTATACCGTCATTTAGTTCTACTTACACTTATTATTTTGTTTTTTATAATTTTATACCTTAGTTCTTAACTTAAATATATTTTTTAAACTAGTAATTTGTGTGAAATTGTATACTGAAAAATGAAAAATGTTAACTTACAGTATCGCCTAATGGAATGTAAGGCTGTAATTTTCGATAAAATTTTGGCCTGTTTAGTATATCATAGTCCAAACTAAAAGACCTGAAAAATGATTACATTCATGTTACACTGTTTATTAAATTTTTACTATATTTACTTAGAACATGTATTTAACAATGTATCTGAATGTCGAGCATACCTCAAGTAATACGGATATAGTAATTCATTGGCCTTTGACTGAGTTGTAGGTGCTTTATTATTCTCTAAATCACTGTTTTCCGAATCATATTTGAATATGAATCCATTATCTCTGAAAAAAAAATAGTACTGTTGTAGTACTATAGTATAGTATAAAAAAGTTGAACTTACGCTATGCTTGTTCTGCTCAGTTCTGTATTTAATAGTGGTTGGATTTCACAATCCGTGATCATAGACTTGGCCCTGGGTCTACTGGACCTTTTAAACGACTTCTTAGAAACTCTACCCATTGCTTTTAAGTGTTCATAATAAAAACAAATAGGATGATTGTTTTAATAATAAATTGTAATACATTTACTCCACATGGTTACATATCTAACGCACTCGTAAGACTCTCTCGGAGCTATGTCTTTTATTTTTCCATTTACACTACTGCTACCTGCTGTGCTATGTTGTTCGAATCTTATCAATAACAATGACCCTTAAACTCTATTCACCTTGTTCTCATAGCCTACTTTATGGAATCGCGCGCGTCTATATTATAGTATAGTAGACCGTCAATAATTTTCGGGCAGAAGATGCATATCGTTTAAATAAGGCAGTTTGGTCAAAGGCGCAAAAAGAAGGCGTGGCTTGGAAAAATAAGATAATACCAATGCTTATGCAAAAACTGAGATTGAAAACAAGGCCAGATTAAATTCAGTAGTTATAGTCAGCACAGAAACCGATTCGCGTATAAATATATTATGTACACCTGATATATATGTATATACAATATTATTTGTGTGATAAAAATGTAATTGCTAATTATTTTTAAGGTATGTACCTACGTACGAAGTGTGTATTCGCTAACTCTTTTTATGCAATCTTGGATATTATTGTTGAACGATTTTCATGGCCAATCGGTCCGTTCAATATTTATAGATCATTGAAGCTAAATAACATGTTATCGCGATATCCCGTTAATGTAAAGGTGCATCGTGCATAATCAGACATAATATTATATTATATTAGCCAATAGCCATAGACCATAACCTATTTACTTAAATCGTATAATATTTAGTACTTATCCACTCTTAGTCTATACTTCGTGTAAAATTTCGATAGCATATAAATAATAAATCATCGCATAAACTAAAAGTGATGAGAAAATAAACATATAACACCACTTAATAATATTCAATTAGTTAATTGTTAACTCATGATTAAAATGTCAAAAAATAATAATTAATTATACTTACCATATTTACAGTTTAGGCTCTCTACATCTACGTAGTATTAAATATGTTTAGAGTTTAGAGTTATTTTAGCAATAATTTTGTTAATCTAGCGAGAACACGTAAATAAATTGTTGGACAACACAACAGCCATCGGCCGTGGCCCATACATTCTACATAATATTATTATAAACGCGTGTGGTACAAAGTGCTTACATTCGTATACTGTGGTCTGTGACTAGTTTGACATTATATTATTATTATAGAGAGAGGTGACGTCCGATACATATGCGACATGGTGGAGACGGAAAACTTATCTCAGATGACCTATTATATAAACATCATTATTTTTATAGTTCACTTAAGGGGTGGGAGCCGGGAAGTGAGAGTTGTTATTGCCTATAGAGTATAGAGTGTTAACATGCCCAGTCCAGATTAAAAATATAATCCGCTCTTAAATGAGCAGTGGTAGATCTAGGATTTGGTTTTTTTTGGGAGGAGGGAGGGTGGCGCAAAATATACATTTTTCAAAACAATATTAAATTGGTATACTATAAATATGATATATTTTATATAATATGTAGTATCGATTTACGGTTAAACAGTCGTAATAATTATAATTTACAAATTTCAAATATTGTTAATGTTTATTCGATAGTTAGTAATAACCTACCTAATAAGATACACATTGTTTATAATTTTTAAATATAGTTAAATATACAGTTTGTATTCCCTTATAAATAAATCAATTTCATTGACCTGTAATTATAATAAGCGTTATCATTTAGAATCAAGTTATAATAACAAATGTTTATACAATTATTAAATAAATAATTAGAAAAAGTTCTTTGTTGTTAATTACTTACCAATATGTTACATACATGCATTTAACAGACTTTGAGCTTATTTCAAACAATGGTTAAGTTAGATGTGATGAAACAAAATAAATTTTGTTTTGAAAATGGATTAAATATTTTTTTTGACTTGGTCAATTTAATATTTTAATCTTTACATCTTAATTGTTGAATTGTTGTGTGTGACTCAAAATACGGTTGAATTTAATTTAACCTTAAATTTGATTTTATTGTATGATGTACGAATGAATAACATGATGCGAACTTCACCAAGTCGTTTGGACGTGTGGGGCATTGCATTAGGTTTGCGTTAGTCATTACATAGTAGATAATATGTTAATGTTTTTCATGTAATGTGTACCCATACTATGTGTTAAATACAGAACACTATACTGTTATAATGTTATGTAATTTGGAAATTTTGGAATGTAAAACTAAAATAAATCTAATTGGTATTTGGAAGATATAACTTATTGATAAGACGATCCGTAATCCTATGTATTTATTGTTAAAATAACGGCCTTTACTATTGCTTAATAGTTTTTTTATAGTATAATATATATATTATAAGTTATAACATATTATTGTGTAATAATATAATAAATTATATCAGACTGCTGCAAACCAAAGCATGACACCAAGATACGTCTATAAACTATTCCTTACTCCTATTTCATTCATTAAAATCCCCAAAAAAATCCCAATTTACTTCAGCTATTATGTCATATCGCTTTGTATTGAGTTTTAATGTTTCACTAATTTTGTACTTTCTGTTTCCGATTGCTATTTTTCACGCTGCTTTGCCTTATAAATGTAGCTTCATACATGGCTTATATACATAAAATTAACATAAATGAATTTCATCCTTCTATTGTATAGATAGTGTACTGCCAAACGTTTTGTGTACATTTCAACGAGCCTTTTTTAAAGTGTAAACTGTAAAGAATATATACTTCAGATTATTTGTGCTTTGTGCAGCGAAGAATATATGTATAGGTACATACTACCGTCTACCATAGATTATAAATACTAATATCTACTACATATTTAGCGATGTATATCGTAGTCTTCCAATTACGATGATGTTTTTGGTTTTTCCTAAAAATGATGATTTATGTGAACACTTTTGAGTAGTAAAAAGGATCCAACGTAGCTTCATGTGGCAAATTTATGAATACTGACTTAGATATATTATGCATAATATGAATAAGATGATAATGATTGATTCTATGGTTTCCACAGGTCGTTTCTCAATTGTTTCTTTACAGTATGCTAGAATCTAGTATCCCTTAACGTAAGAAAAAACTAGGTACCAGTAAAAAAATGTGGTAGGACTCTTAGGTTGTCGTAGCAATAGTTTAACTTTATCTGAACTCTGCCATCTGATAATGTTTAGTAGGAAATTCGAAAAATTGATCTCACTGGACTACTATGATATTGTCTGATACACAACTTAAAGTGGTGGTATTACTGATACAACATCTGTATAGCTACTAAACCTGTAGAGCCACGAAGTTGCTTCCTATCTTGTTTTGCCTAGAGCTTAAAATCATAATGCAATATTTAAATATCATTCATTTGGCGAATCCCAGGAAAATGTGTATTATTATAATTGTACGTGTTATACTTATTATATTTCATAATATACCTGTATATTTTCATTTATTATTATATTATACTCGAAAATAATAACTGTTAACTAAAATGTACATTTTAACTAACATAATATATGGTATTGAACTGAACTGGAATCTCAATAAAAATAAATATACATTTGAATTAATTATCAATTGATCGAATAGTCCACAGTACGTATGCAGTGTAACTTATAAGTTATAACAAACAGGTTCTAAATTCTTTAATACATTACAATTTTGATAAATTTAAGAAGTGGAGTGATGAATGCAATGATTTTACAAAGATATTGAGGGAGGTTTCAACTAAAACATCCTAGTTTGTGCCTAATTGGGGAGTTCAAATCATTCATAGTGAACTTCAAAATATTCTGGAATATTTGAAATTTATAAAACACCAATTTTTGACAAGACTTAAAACAATTTTCAAAATATTTTGACCCTTTTTGAAGTACTAATCGACATTTGAAATTTTCGATTTATGTTAATATTTTTTTTCCTGAGTGAAATAATAGCTTCAAAATTGAATACAAGATTGTTCATAATTTTTCTTAAAGAAATGTATAAATATTTAAAATACTCAATGGCATGTAGAAACTTAAAAAATATTTTTTTGAGATTTAAAGTCCAAAATACTTCAAATGTTGACAATATTAAATATGTAAACAAAAAAGAACGATATAAGTTATTTTGTCGTAATTCAAAAATTATTATTCATAAAAAATTGAAACTTTTTTCGTCAATACGTACATAAGTAGGTAGGTAAATACTTTATAAAATCAAATTTTCAAAATATTTAGTTAAATGTAATATTAAGCTTTTTCACCACTACCTTATTCACACTTTTCTAAGGTACTTCAATGTTCACTTACCAAATATTACCAACAATAATATCTAATGTAATAGTTTTATAATTACTACAGGTATATAATATATGCGATGTTTTTGGAAAAAAAAAGTCCAGCATAAGAACCATGTTATTAATGGAAAAATAAATTAACACACCCATTAGTCATTACAGTGACCCAGTTAATGATTAGATACTCGAAACCTTAGCTAATATAGTATACACCGCAATGACTTCACTGATTTTTTTTTAATTGATGTAAGTTAAATTGCCTATCTTATAACATAAAGGTATCATATTATATGGAAAAAATTGAATATAATCTAGTAATTGAGTACCTATAATCTATATACATGGTATATACTACAGCGTCTTTTACAAATTAATGAAATTTAAATAAACATCGAATATTCTACTATAAATAATTTATCATAATAATCATGAAAATTAAATTATTTAATTTAAAATATTTAAAATTTAAGTTCATATTGTGACATAACTTCGGTAAACAATTTTTAAAATGTAGTGAAAACAAATTTCCATTTATAATTGGTTATACAATATTGAGAACACTCGAACAAATCTCTAATGATGATGCATGAATATAAATAATAAAATAAATACTTAACAAATTTATCTTTAAGGCTAAAAAAAAAAATAAAATGTTATATAATATTATATTTTGATCAACAAATCAACTTATAAGTTGCAACTCTTGGTGACATAGGTAGATTAACATTCATTTTCTCGAAAATTTTTAATATTTTTAGAAATATTGTTTTTAGATAATTTGAAGTCATTGCAAGACAATAAAAATATTTAATTTTTTTAAAAATTATTTATATTAATTTTTTTTTTTTTATGTTTTTGAATGACATCATATTTTTTAATTTTATATTTATTCTTAGAATATTTTTCTAAGTACTTGTATGAACAAAATCGAACTTTCGGGCGGGTAATTAATTAGTAATAAGCTTATAACTTATATCATAATGACTTATGAATATTTAAACTTTGATTAGCGGAGTGGAGACAGTGGAGAAGCACAGGTATACCTGATAAAATGTTGGGCCATTGCTCAAAAATAAATTAAATCAAAAATTATATTATAATATATTACTATATTTCTATGTAACTTCCAATTATATAATAAACATATCTCCAAATATTTTTTGATTAAATTAATGTTCACCTTTAAAGTAATCACGTTGTTAACTGTAGTCCATATAGGTTAGGCTTTTAGAGTGTTTGGGGTTCACTTGTTAAAAACAATGAGATATTTAACTGGAGTTATTAACACTTTAAACCTGAATATAGTTTAGGTAGATTACCTAGTGGCGTACCGGTTGAAGCTTGGAAACGTCTCGTGTTGCGATAATCGCGAGGATTAATAATAAATGTTCATTTTGAAGGCAATAAAGTTTAGAAATGTATTTTGGTCGCGTTTAAACTTCAAAGCGTATCTGGTCTTTAGGACTTAAACTAAATACGGTTGCCATACTACTATTTAGAAAATTGATAAATCCTTGTGACGCAGTAATTATTGTTTCTAGTCACTAGATGTAATTGTGTTAAATTTAAAAACACTGTTCAA